GGATTTAAACAAGGCTCCTTGTTGCAGTAAGAATTCCCATTTGAAATCTCACTGAAATGTAGTGGTACAATCTCATTCTGTAAACAGAAACCACTTCTGTTTTACTGATTACAATATATAGCTCTGGGCAGAAATTTCTAAACAATCAACAGTTATTAACATTTAATGTTGCTGAATGCACTATTTTTGATCTGCATATATATTTTATATATAGCCCACTTTATTTGTTTGATATTTTTAAATTTTATTAGCCACCCAGTGTTGCCTGGTAAATTGGTAGCCATATAAAAGAACAAGTAAATAAATAAATCAATCAATGTATGAATTGTCTTTTGCCAGCAGAGCAGGTACTTAGAGTTTTTTTTAAACCAATTGTTGAGTGCCTCTAATCAAAATACAGAAGGTGCTGCAAAGGCCTTGAAGCACAATTCAGATTCATTGTTTGAGAAACTGTAAAAGTTCAGTGATTTCTGATCCCTTCCCATTTGTATTCCAAATCTATTCTGCAAGATTTCCCCAGCATCCTAGAGTGGATTTTAGAGATTGGGATTTTATATTGTTGAGGGATGTGGTTCCATCAATGGATATATAATGTGGATGCAACCCAACCCATCTATTAGTGGCACTACTCACTTTTTTTTTAAAAAAAAAAGTTTTTTATTTTAACAACAAACAAAACCACATAAAACATACAACATAAAAACATCCTCCTCCTTCATAAATTTACAAACAGTGTATCGGTTGGTTTACCACTTTTTTTTTGTGCATCCGTTTCCTAAAGGCTAATATAGTTATATTACATAATAACTCATATTATCAATCAACAATTGTATAACCTAGTATCATTACTGAGAAATCATTTAACTATAATTTTATTAATTCATACTTTAACGAGATAACTATAATTTACTTAATTTATTTTGCAACGAATCATAAGATCATACCAAATCTATCTTAGTAAGGTTTTATAAAAATATCAAAGAAAATTATATCCTAAATCTAAATATTCTATTATTGTGTTTTATTATCTAACCATTGATAAAAAAGATTCCAAACTTCATAAAGTAGAGGAAGAAAAAGGACAAGATTTGGCGGCTGTAATGATAGAAATCTTGGCTGGAGCTTTGGGGATAACAGTGGAAAAGATGATGGATGGAGTAGATGAGATAGTAGATGAGATGAGATAGTAGATGAGACTGCTCAGTTTTGATATTGTCAATATTTCATAAATGTTTCAGATTTGGTCTTATTAATTGCTCAATTCATTATGAAATACTCTTAATACTCTGTTTAATAAGAATAAAATTTTGGTGCTTTATAGTTTTCTTGAACTGTCCGTATGTTTAACAAACATTGCAATAGAAAAAGGCACCATTCCATCATGTAGGTAGGAATGTTTAACAACTGCAATTTTCAGAAATGAGATACAAGAGTAGCTAAATCTGTTGATGGTGGCTGCTCATTATCTTCCTTTCTCCATGGATATTCTCTTTGGACTAAGTTGCTTGAAAAATATTTCTTTAGGCACAGCATCATATTTCATTCTATACGGAAATTAAAAGTGCTCCTCCCTTCATTCTGTTTTTTTCCCCCAAGATCTCAACAAGAGAGATTAGGTGCCCTATAACTCTTTATTTTTGCCTCTCATACATTATTCAAATCAGGTGCTATATATTATTTCACTCTAAAATATTCCAAAAACCTAAACATCCTTTTCTAGTTCAATGATGATTCTTATTTACAACAATATGAAGGATACAATTTTTTTTCTGTATCTTTATTTCTGTATTCTGTCTCCCGAGCTTATCTGTAAATGACAGGTGGAACAGCTTTATGCTTTTTTCAATTAATCTCTTTGTGTGCTTTGGTTTATAATTTATTGAGGAAATAAGCACAAATTTAGGAGTTTCTGAGTTTAGTCCTCAAATAGTAATTTCTTTGTACAGTGACTGTTCCCAGTTAAGACAGTGATGAAAAAAAACCCTTTATAACCAACCCTCACATTTATGACTTTTATTCTGTATAACAAAGGAAAGCTGAAGCAAGATTGTAAGAACAGTTGTATTTTAATTACCTACCACTTCACTTAATGACTGAGTTGCTGGTCCCAATTATAGGTGTTATAAGAGGACTACCTATATATTTCTATCATTTGGCTAGCATATGATTACTTGCTAAAAGTTATTTCTGTTTGCACATGTATTTGAAGTTTTTGTTAAGGAATCCTTTCCAGTGTGCTTTAATGTCTAAATGTATGGCTATGACCCAAAAAAATCAGTGAGGTGAATTAGGCCTCCAGCACCACGAACCTCTGCAAGCTAGATGTTGTTTCCAATAACAGACTTGATCTGGCAAGAAAAAAAAATTGCATTATAAAAAGAAGTGCTACCCAAAGTCATACTTTCTTTAATTACTGCAGTAAAACTGCTACCTTAAATCAGTCTTTGGAGAAAAAGTTGATGTCTGCTCAAGGCAACATTTTTGTCAAAGCATTATTTATTATTGGACATATTAATGTTCTGTTCTGGGCAATGGGATTAATGTAATATACCACATTTTTGCCAGATTTAAGTTCATCACTTTCCTTAAACCAAGTCTATAGCAGTAGAACAACCTTTGCTTTAATTAAGTCTGATTAACTCTGCTATATATTTTAAATTTCTTAAATATTTTTCTTTTCCTTCATTAAGGTTATTTATATGTGTGCAAGATTAAACATTAGTTCGGTCAGATTACTATCATCCCATAGTGACTATACTTCAATATTCAGGTTAGTTTTACCTTCTTGGTGATGTCTGTATACTATTAGAGCAGCATTGTATATATTTGTAAACAAACATAATTTTTCTTAAATAGAAGCGTTTCCTTTATGGGATAGGTAGCGCATATCTTACAACTAAGTTTATTCCGTTTATTCCTTTTGCGTTACTCCTTTTTTGCTGGAGCTCATTATAAATTGAGGCACAATGATTGGTTCCTTTCATCTGGAATAAAAACCCTTGTGCTGTTGCAATTTGCCGTGCGAGGGAAATGAAAGGGCCCAAATCACTTTTCCTCGTAGCGTAGTTACATGACAACCTTCTCTCTCTCTCCCTCCCTTTCCCTCTCTCTCTTGTTTCTTGTAAATCAGACTGGGGAGAGCACTTTCACTTCCTTTATAGGATGGAATGTGATGTCACATAGAGCATCTTCATGGTGAGTATAGAACACGGCTTTTATTCTATGCTAACAGCTGAAGAGAGTCTCTTGAGTCTAGGCAGTTTTCATTTGTAGCTTTGACTGTTGGAAATGCAAGAAGTCAGACAAAAAGCCATGGTGGCACAGTGGAGTATCGCACAGCAGTATTACAGGCTAACTCTACATTCCCACTGCGAAGAGTTTGATCCTGACCAGCTGAAGGTTGATTCAACCTTCAGTCCTTCCAACATCAGCAAAATGAGGGCCCAGATTGTTGGGGGCAGTATGCTGACTCTGACTCAGCTTACAGAGGGCTGTAAAGCACTATGTAGTGGTCTAAGTGCTACTGCTATTAAGCAACATACCCGAATTTCTGTATTTTCCTGGTTCCTACATAGTCAAGAGCCTTCAGAGAAATTAACTTTCTTGCAATAACCCCTAGAGCCTCCTTTGAAAAATACTGAGAAAGTTGAGGAAATAATTGTTCTGTTTCATTAAAAATTATTATTGTTCTGCCAATTTCTGGGGGAAGTTTGTAATTCTTGGGTTTGTTGTAAGTCAAAGCTCCCAGGATGAGTTTTTAACCATGTTAGGGAAATGAGAATTTGCTAGGTTGATTGTAATGTAAAAAAGAAAAATCTCGTTATCATAGTTACAGTACTAGTTTGCAGGTCACTTAAAGTAATAGGCAGTGAAAATTGTGGATAAGGTTTTGGAAATACTGTACTGTAGTCTTGTAGCAAAATAATAACTACATGCTCATTTAAATAGGACAGCTTTTTTGCAGCCTTTGCTTTCAAAAAAGCCACATTTAAGATGGGTTGGGCCACCAAAACTGACAGCATTTGTAGCTTGAGATGAGAGATTTTGTTAAAGCAGAATTGCTTTTCTTTACATAAACACTGTGAAAATCTAATTCAGAATTACATTGAACTCAAATGTAAAAACTAAATGTTCGGGAAAGTTGAACTTTTTTCAAACCTTGGCTTCTACTCTGCACACATTGAACAAAGTCATTTGATTTTTATGGTATTCCTCAGCTTCATTTTGAAAAGTGTTTCTAAAATTAGAAACACATTTTCTTTTGTCCTTTTGTATACTTTTTAATTTAATTTAGTCATCTTCTCTGATGCCAGCTTTAGCATTTCATTACATACTTGCATGAAACTGAATGTTCCCATTACACTTTGTAAACTCTGATTTAATTTCATCTTTTAAGCCAAGATAATTTAACCCTGGCTTTTTTGTTATATTCATGACAGTAAGCCAGAATTTTTTGGATCATACTTAATGAGAAACATGGCTTAAATCATGATTTTTGGCAAGGAAGCTGATTTTTTATTGCAGATTAATTAATGGCTAAGTTAACCCACTGGTCCTCTCTTTGTATGATACATACAACAAAGGCTAACGGTTATGTGCACAATAATAAAATATGATTGTGATTTTAAATGAGAGGTATCATTTATTTATTTATTTGCTACCTATCTAGCCTTGGGGCTACTCTATGTGCTTACAGTAATAAGGAAGAAAATGAAAGGAGTGTAAAGAGAATGGAAGCAAAATAATAGAACAATAAAATAAACAATGAAAAATAATGGAATGAGTACATCAATATGATAACCCAAAAGATGGGCTGGTATAGAGCAGAATGCAAGGGGAAGGGGAGGTGACATCTGCCATCAATCCAGCAGCCACCTCCAGCATGGTTAGCTGTTGTAATAATGAGCTGTCAGTTCTTTTAAGATACTGATTTTAGGGGAAATGTTTTCAGGTTTAATTCTCCCACATTGTCTCATTTTGCCATGTTTGTTTTGAGACAGCTATCACCTAAGGATGGGCCTAAGGATGAGGTTGGTATTTATCTTTTGTTGTTGTTGTTGTTGGTTGTTAGCATGTTATTTGGCTGAATGGGAGCATGTTGATGATTGTGCTGCAACTGAGAAAAAAACTTACCAGTCTATTTATACATTTATTATAAAAATGCATGCTATAATTGTCCCAAAACTTTTCCCCAAGGTGCTTTCATTTATCATATAGCTATGATATGGATATAATAAAGCTTTGGGAATACAATACATATGTAATTCATGCATTACATTTTTGGATGTAATATTTTATCATTTCATATAATGTGAGGACAGACTCTGCTCCTAAAATATTTTGCTGCAGAAAATGATGTGAATTTCAGCTAAGTATTGTAGATGAGAGTGATTGTATGTATGGGCACTGCATTTGCTGGCATATTCAAGCAAAGTAAAAGCCCATTCAAATTTAATTATGTTATTCTAAGGCTGCAAAATTCACACTATTTTTTCTTAGGCACATAGAAGAAACAGGTTTATCTGTCTTATTTCAGAGTTTCAGATTCTTCCAGTGTTGAATTTTTTGTGTGTTTGCAATAAGGACTTGCAAAAAAAATGGCATATTTGGAGTGTAATTTCATAAGCTGAAAGAGAAATAACAATGTACAAATATTGAAGTTTGGAACATTAATTTAAAGATAGACGTTGGTAGGGAGGCAGTTGGCTAGTTTTTGTTATTTCACAGACTCATAGATGGGTAGAAATATCATATACAGAACTTTCTTTACTCTCCTTTCAGAGTCAGTTAATAAAGCTATAGCCAAGATTGAAACCACGGATGTTAGAAGTTCTACAACTTTATTTCTTTGATTTATGTCCCTTCTCATGTTCCTCATCCCAAGTAGGAAAGTTGTTCTAACTATCATCATAATGGGGCTTAAATCAAATCCTCAGCAATTTTAATTAACTTGTATTTTTAGTAACATTGCTTATATTGTTGAAAGGAGGCACAATGGCTCAGCGGTTATAGATAGAATTTGTCAGTTGGAAAGCTGACAGTCCAAGTTTGAGACCCAAGCACTGTGCAATGGGGTGAGCTCCCATTATACTTCCTCCAACTTCTGCCCATGTAGCAGTTTGAAAGCATGCAAATGCAAGTAGATAAATAGGTACCAGCATTCCATGCACCTTGGTGTGTATTCATTCTGGCCATATGAACTCGGAAAAGTCTTTAGGCTCCCTCGGCCAAGAAACAGAGATGAGCATCGCCCCTAGAGACGGATATAACTGGGTAGGGGAATTCTTTACCTTTATATCATTGAAAATTCAAACTAAGTAATATTTTCCACTGGAGGAACTAAAATTTTATAAATATATGTAAGATTTCCCATTTCTTCTTTAAACTTTGTTTTAAAAGTTTAAAGTTAGAAAAAAGTAGCAGATTTGTTCTTCTCTGTGAGAGTGTTTGTGGAATCAATTGCCAGAGAAGAGTTGGTCTTCTTTGTACAGGATGGGTTCAGATGAAGGCTGTTTGATTCATTAAGTAGAATTTGAGCCTGGTCATTTGTGCCACAAGTACGAACTTTGGGTTGATTTGTACAGTGCTTATTTTTTCTTTAATATTCCTTCCTTGCTTGCTTCATCAAAGTCCAACTTTTCTTTCTATAGAAAGCCACAACTTGCAGAGCAATGTTACTTGCTCTGTTCTGATTTAAATGAATACAATTATCAACTATCCCTGCTGTATATTGAATAATAAGGATTGCCCAGGTATTAATTGCTGTAATGATGTTTTCACCATTTAGCTTTGATTTCAAAATTATCCAACTCACTGTATTTTCTTTGACTTGATTCAGTAATAAATTGGAAGACTCCAAAATTCCCAGATATTTGTAACCTTCTCATGCTACTTCTTAACACTTTATTGTTAAGATATTCCGTCATCGTTGGCAATTTTACACTTTTCTTTCTTTTTTCTTGCTTGTCTCTCTCTCTCTTCCTCTCGCATTCCCTCTTTTTCTCTCTTTCCCTCTTTTTTCTTTTTCCCCCTCTCTCTCTTCCCCCCGTGTATCTCTCTCTATGGCTCTCTCCCCCCTGTATCTCTCTCTCTCTCTCTCTCTCTCTCTCTCTCTCCCCCTCTCCCTCCCTTCCCCACTCTCTGCCTCTGCCTCTCCCTCTCTCTCCCTTTCTCTCTCTCTCTCTCTCTCTCTGTGTGTGTGTGTGTGTGTGTGTCTCAAAGCTGTGGCTGAGCCAAGCCAGCAAGCTTTCCTTGGCACTCTTCACTACTTTCATTTCTTCTTTTTGGAATCCAGACTGGCTGAACAATGATTGCCAGCCATGGTGGAAGCGTCCCTTCGGGACAACCCTTCTTCTCCTCCCCCTCCTCCTCCACTCTTGACCGGCAGCCGTCGGTCCTCCTCGGCCATACAGAACAAACAGGCAGAGAAAGAGGAGACCAGCCAGCTGGTTGGGGGTGTGGCCAGCTAGGGGTCGCCACCTGTTTGGTGACCCATGCCAAATCACCGCTACTGGTTCGCCCAAGCCATTGCAAACCGGTTGAATACCACCTCTGGTGTTCATACTTGCACCTAGATATAGACTTAACCAGCAGCTGGAACCAATACTATTTATGTATAGAATTTATTTAGGATAGCTTTGTCTGTTGAGCGTGATATGAAGTAAATTTGCCAAAATATGTGAATTTCCCTAGTTTTTCTACAAATATTTTTTGTAGGAATCTACTCTGTGATAGTTAAAAATTAGAATGGATTTTTGTATTTATCAGATTTGATTTTATCTTAGATATTTTAAAATTTTGCTAAAGAAGACAAAAATTATTTGGAGGTTTTTTTTTTTCTTCTATTTGATTATGTCTGATTCTTGGAGATTGCCTGGAAAAGTCCCTTCAGTTTTCTTATTAAGGTTTTTCAGAATTGGTTACCTTTACCTCCTTCCTAGAACTGAGAAGAAATTATTGGCCCAAGGTCACTCAGCAAGGCTTCATGGCCTGCCTCAAGGGAGGACTAGAACTTGTGATCTCCCAGTTTCTAGCCTAGCGCCTTAACCACTATACCAAACAGGAGGGGTAAATTGCCTCTGTCCTTAATTATGGAGTAGTATGTTGTGAAAAGCATGCTTTTGGAGCACAGATTCAGGGTCATTCTTTAAAAACAAAGAAAAATATACCAGGAATTTGCTTGCCTGCTTTCCATTTTCTAGTACCTCTAACATGAATTTTGCAAAGTTGAAATAAAATCTGAAGTTCTTATGTCTCTTTCACTTTATCTTCCTGATCTTCTATTTCGGATTCCAGCTGACATTCTTCATGACTCCCCTCCTCAAACTTCTCTCTGCTACTAATATTCTCTGTTCCTGTCAACTGATCATATAATTCTTGGGCTTTATCTAGATAAGGGATCGCCAACCTTTTGGACCTCAGGGACCACCAAACTCATAATTTTAAATCCCGAGGACCACTAATATGATTTTTTTTAAAAAAAGGATAATATATTTAATATAAAAAATTTAATTTTTATATTAAATATAAATTTAATATAAAAATTGTGTGTGTGTGAGTACATATATGCTTATTTAATTACAACTGTGGCTGCCTGGAGTTGGGGGAGGGAAGGAGGGCTGGGCTGCTTCCATCCCTCCCCCTACCTGCACCTTCCAAAGAAATAGAAGAGCAAGGGGGATCTGAGCTGAGGGGTCTCGGGGCAACTGCCACTGGAAGAAGCAGAGTCAAAAAGGGGCTTAGTTCTCCTTGGGGGGCAGTGCCCCTCGGCCGCCCCTCCAGGGGCTTCTCAGCAGGCAGCTGAGAAGCCCCTGGAGTGCCACCCTCAGTGATTAATTGGGGGTAGGGGAGGGGGAGAAAGTGGGGGCTCCAGGACAGGATGCCAGGGCTCTTCCAGCCTCACCTGGAAGCAGTCAAAGAAAGGGGAGGAGGTTGACACCTTCACCCCCTCAAGAGGAGAGTTGCTTTCCTCCATCAGCCTTCCATCCACTGTTTCTGGAGGAGAGACAGGCGCCGTTTCCTCCCCGCCTGATGGCTGCACCCTCAGCGGGAGAGAAACCCACCCTGGAACCTGGCAGTGGCCGATCTGCTCCTCCCAAGTGCCACTTCCCTGCCGCCCACCTCGTAGAGCCTGCGTGGGGATGAGAGAGGTTCCCCCTCCAGCTAAGCTATCGTGCACTCCTTGAGAGAGATGAGAGAAGCAGCCAGAGTCACTCTCGTCTCTCGAGAGCCTGGCCAAAGTTTCCCATGCCACTTCAGGTACAGAGACAGCAGTTTGCAGGGGGCCGATTCAGCATATGCAGAACTAGGGTTGACTCTGGCTGCTTCTCTCTGCTGCACTACAGACGCGGCAGGACACGAGAGACTGCCTTGGCGCTACTAGCTGCCGCAAATATACCGCGGTGAAGGGAGATGCAAATCTGAGTACTGCTTCTTCCAGTCATTGCCGCTTCATCCTGCTTGCGCCACACTCCTCTTCCCCCCAACAGCACCATTACCTCATCCCAGCCACCACAGGATGGTCCCATATTTCAGAGCTGTAGTCATCCTGATGGAGGAACTGCTCCGGTATGGCCAAATGGCCAGTCCTGTGACTACTACAGCTCTAGCATATGGGACCAACTTTCCCACCAACATTAGCAAGCCACCCCAGGGTGGATTTCTCTCCCCTGCGTTGTTCTCGAATTCGTCTGGGTATCTGTTTCAGGGTAATGACTTCCTTCTCCTTATACACTATGGGCTTCTCCCTTGTTATTTTATAAATAATATCCCAGACGTTCTTTCGGGTGAACCTGACGTGTACTTCTCTGGGTAATTGGTATAGTTTTGCATAATTTGTTTGGACTCTGTAAACTTCGTCCAACTCATTTATAATTTCTTGTGTATCCCTTTGCAGGGTTTCTGCTATCAGTTCCGCCATTAGTCTTCTCAGATCTTCATCCTTAGTTTCAGTTATGTTCTGGAATCTTAGATAGAAAGAGGCTCGGTCCATGTCAAAATGGATCAAGGAATCTTCCAGATCCTTATTCATTGCCATCATACGTTGATCAACCTGTTCCATTTTTTTCTGTTTGTTCTGCTTTTATTTCTACTGTTTTTATTTTCTGTTCATTTTTGGGGGATCGCCTCTTGTATTGAACTGACCTTGTCATCCAGTTTCTGAATATCATTATTCAATTCCCCATGGTTTTTGGACATCGTCTCCTGTAGCTTCACTATTGTTTCTTGGCTCATTAACAAGGTTGATAGCATTGTTGGAGTATTCTGTGTGTTTGATTTCTCTGTAGTTATCATCCCTTCTGTTGACTGCTGCGTTGACGGAGATGCTGTCACTACTGATGGGTTCAATGATGCTTTCTTCCCTGCTCTCAGGGTAGTTGTCATGATACTGGTCATTTCTTTCAAAATTTTATTCTGCTCCCCTAAGATTTTATAAATACTTTCCCAAATTACCATGCAACCACTTTATTAATAGTAATACTAACTTTTTATCATTCTTCCTTATTTCTTTTATATCCAGTGTCTTAAATTATATTAAATTATGTTAATATGAGATCAAATCAATTACTACTAATTTATAACTATTCCTTCCTTTTTTGTTTATCAATATTATAGCATTCGTTATCTTAATCACTTAACTATTCTATTTTATAGACTATATATTCAATAATATACCTTTATACAAAATTATCAGTAATTAAATTTCATTAATATAAGCTCTAATAAATATAATAGATAATATAATATAGTTAATGCTTAATATATAGTTAAAATAGGTATTGATATAGGTATTGTAAATGTTAAATATACATTGAATATACCTGTAATATATTTCATTCACTAGTATTTAACTATAATCAGTGTTGTTATTTTCTACAAAATAGTCAATAATTATAAACCATCAAAATAGGCTATAACAGATATGATATAATATGATTGGCAATATATAACGAATCTGGTTATTAATGTGGGTGTTATAAATCGTAAATGTATTCTGGTTATCTCTTAAATATATTTCAATCACTGGAATTCATATAAGTACTATAAATTTATATAAATATTGTAATCAATGTAATCAACACAGTCACAACATTTAATATAGCGATCCAATTCATTCTAAACCATTCCTCTAGTAGACTTAATCTCTATTTAGTATACAGTTACTTGATTTCACGGTGATCATTTCCACCTCCGACTCAGCTGGTATTTTTAGCTTCCTACTCATTATTGACTCTGGGTCTCTTATAGTTCACACTTTTTTTTCCAGTTTTTGGATTCGGGGATTCGTTTCTTCTTTCTTTCACAGCTTTTCCTCAATCTTCTTCATTTGTCTCATTATCTCTGAGCAACCAAAAGCACCCACTTTTCTCTCTTCCACTCCCGCCACTTTTCTCAACACTCTCCGCCGTACCCTCAGAACCTCTCTTTTTCACTTCTCGACCTATCACAAGGTTTCAGCTTCTTTCAGTTTGGTTCGTTTGGCTGTTACTTTGTTGCTTTCAGCACAAGTCAAGTCGGGTCACTGGATTCTCCTTTCGTCTCACTCACTTCTAATGCCTTCTAGTTTCCCGTTTTCACTTTCACCGTTCTCTTTCCTTTCCCTCTGTGTTCTTTACACCCCTCTCAGTCACTTTCAATCTCAGATTTCTTCTGCTTTTTTGGTTTTAAGTTCAGTAAATCAGAGCTCTTCCCTTCGGGTCGCCGCTAAAATTTTTGGGGTTAAAACCTTCCCCCCCGAGCTTCCTTTTTAACCAAAAGTTTCTCGGAATTACCCACTTTACCAGTTCAATTTAATCCACTGCAGATATGGGATTTTCTCACCGGTCAGATTGTCACAGTCTGTTCAAGATGATCCTTTCTTCCTCTTCTATTGTGACTAGTCACAGGTTTGGGTCTGCCATGTCAAAGTGACAAGGCAAAACACTTTTCGCGCCGGGTTCAAGGGAGATCCTTTCATTTCAGTGGGTGGTTGGCTTCCTCCTCGCTGCTCCCCAGGGCTCCCCTCCGTAACACGTTGCTCTCCAAACTTTCTGCGCCTTCGAACGGTCCCTGATCGCGATAAATTCAGAGTCAAAGGACAGAGATTGTCCCTTTTGCTCTGCACCACCAAGATGTCAACACCGGAAGTCCAGTTGAAATAAAATCTAATACTGAAGATCACAGGAGGCAATGTGGCAGGACAAGGTAGAAGAACATTTCTGCATTCAGTCTATGGTTAAAACTCAATCACTCCTTTCCTAGCCTTTGTGACAGTGCCATACTGGGTCTATCTTTTAAGTAAGCCAATAGAGCCTTAGAAACTCCTCCGGGCACACTAAGAATTCTTAAATGTGGAATTAATTGCTCTTGAAAACACTACAATGGATTCTGAACCATCAGGAAAACATTCACAAAATTTCAAACTATAGTTTCTTGCAGTATAAATGAAATTTGTAAAAACAGGTTTTCTCACTAAAATATTAGTGCTTAGTTAACTCTTCATTATGTCTCTAAAATTAATAGACTGTTAGCTTTCAGCTTCAAAGGCTCAAGTAGTTTGTACAATTGAGGCTAGCAAATTTCTAAATAGCACGAGTAAAAGTAAAAAAAGTCTAAAACAGAAACAGGCCACAAAACTAGAAACCATCTCATCCTATTAGACTAACAGAAAGGGATCTGCCAGTTGAAGAAGAAGGAAGCCCAAGCAGGGGCTAAAAGTGCCCTTACTTTAGGGAGGCTGATTTATTTAATAATCAGTGGCTTCATCTGTATCAAATGTGTTCTTTATTTTGTGTAATTTTATATTTCAGCGATAGACGCCTGCTGCAGCCAGCCCAGGTGTGTGATATTTTCAAAGGTGTAATACTTGTAATTTGCTACTTCATGATGCACTATGTTGATTATTCCATGATGTACCATCTGATAAGAGGACAGTCTGTAATTAAACTCTACATCATCTATAATATGCTTGAGGTAAGTAAACAATGAATAAAACTCTTATGGAACCACCCAGTCTTCCTTAACATATAAAAGCTTTGTTGTAATTCCTTTTTCACTGTGTTAGGTGTTATGTCTCACCTTTCCAAGGAAGATGAAAAGTCCAAACTCCAATAAATACAGGCAGGCAAGAAGATTCAGTATTCACAGAGTTAATTACTTTATACAGACAATGTTCTTGGCAGTATAACAAACGCTGCCTGCCAAGTCCGACAAGATAACCAAAAGAATTAATCACTAAAGCTTTCAAGAAACCAAACACACCGAAGCCTGACAGAAAAGTAACACTTTGTCCCGTACAGAGTTTTCAGAGAAAACACACCCACTTTTATCCCCTGTGGGGTGTGTCTCAATGACTCAGTTCACTCTCTGATTCTCCCACGCCTCCTGCGTTGCAGCTCACACTTCTTCCTGCGACGCTGACTCGGATGAAGCCAACATTTGTCTACTTGATTCCCTGTCAGAGGCTGCTCCGATATGCCCTTCTCCTCCTGTTTAGTCTCAGGCTGTCCCTCTCGGTTATCTGCTGAAACCTGAGGTATTATCAGGGAGGAAGGCATTGCCGAAGAGGAAGGTCCTGGGGAGGAAGGCATTTCCAATTCCTCCTTCTCTTCTGAGTCCTCTTCCTCTAAAAACGCAGGCTCAGGAATCGGAGCCACAACAGTTAGGAATACAGGTAGTCCTCACTTAATGGTAATTGGGATCAGGAGTTCCATCTCTAAGCAGTGCAGTCTCACATAACTGTATTTACTCATGACAACATTTCTGGCAGTCCTATTTGTCAGCCATAGGCAAATTGCACATGATAGAAGCATTCTCCAGTCATGAGATTACCATTTGCAATCCTGCTGGATTCCCCATTAACTTTGTGGGAAACAATCATGTGACTACAGGATGCTATGACCATCATAATTGCAAGCCAATTGCCAAGCACCAAATCATGATCACTCAACAATCACTGGACTGATAACAACTTCAAGGACTAGCCATAAGTCTCCTTGTTCAGTGCCATTGTAACCCCACAGCCATTTGTGCTCAGGTGACCCTGAGGACACAGATAAACTTCCAAGTGGCTTCAAAGACTCTCTAAAAAGAATGTAAATAACCAGCTGTCTGCAAGGAGTATAAATCCTTTCATTCTCCACCATCCAGTCCATGCTGAAGAAGCTTCTTGGATAAGAAGTGAAATGTCTTTAAAGAAAAAACAAGAAAGTCCAGTTGTCTCCTGAAAAAATCATTTAGGATTTAGAGGGTTATCAATACATAGCTGTTGCAAAATAGATGATTCTGACAATGACCCAATTCAGGGTCAAGTGATAAGTTGAACTCATTCTTGGATTTTATCCAAATTATGTTCAAAAGAAACACATTCTTTGGGTGAACAAATGAATTATGTCTTCAGCTTGAGGCCAATAATTATTACGTTTATTTCATTTAGGAAGAATACTTCTATTTTTTGCCTTTAAAAAATAGTGCAGAGATTCAAAGATTAAAAGAGGCTTCAACATGCGTGAGAGTGCTAAAATAGTACTTTTCAACAACTCTATAAGCTAGGTGCATCTTTGACCACAGTCTTGCAGAATTGCAGATAAAGGAAAAAGACAACAGTTAGCATGATGTAGTGGTTAGGGAGTGTTTTTCAACCCGGGCATTTTGAAGATATGTGGACTTCAATTCCCCAGCCAACCTTCAGCTTTGTTGCTCAACTCCTGATTATACTGATGGACTTGAATGTTTCACATACGTATATTCTTGCTTCAGTACTCCATTTCAGCAGATGTGTCTAACCAATGAGGCCATTATTTCCACATGGATTTAAATTGAGAGTTTCTGTTAAGGCTGTCCAGTGAATTACAAGCTTATTCTTCTACTGATATTCCCTCTGATCCACAGCTACACAGGCCTCTTGAATATTTTCCGTGTTGCATGTTTAAGTTGAATAGATCTAATTGGTGCTACCTATGACCAGTGTCGAAGAATGACTATGTGTTTTGAATGTCATGCTATGACCAATAAATAGCAGAGCTCCTGAGCAAAGGTAGATTTAATGTCTCTGAGTAGAAAACTAGAAATAAATTAATGCATAATTCTATCCAGAGTAACAGCAAAAAAGCTACAAGAGAATTTTCTCCTAAAGTTACATAGGGGGAACAATTACTGTAATCAAGACAAAGCATAAAGAAGTTGAAATCCATTGTGAAAGTGATTGTGCAAGTTTAATGACAGAACTAGGCCAGAAAAACAATCAAGGATGAAAAACTGGATTTCCCTAAGCAGTGGAAACTTCGTACCAAGATACTAGGTACAAGCTTTGTGTTGTTTTTGTTCTGAATGATCTTAAATGATTAAAATTATTTTAAATGCTGATGTGTAAAAAATGTAATCGGTAACATAATGATTCAAAAGTCTGAACCCAGAAGTTCATGCATACATTTCTTGTACCTTAACCTTCAAATGGATTTGCATTATGGCCCTGAAGTCAAGTAACTTTTGCTTAAGAGAAGCAAGCTGCAAAATTAAAATAACCTTTTGATGCCCATGTACATCTCTCTAGGTAGCTGATCGTTTATTTTCATCTTTTGGACAAGATATCTTGGATGCTCTCTATTGGACTGCAACAGAACCAAAAGAAAGGAAAAGGGCACACATAGGGGTCATTCCCCATTTCTTCATGGCAGTGCTGTATGTCTGTATCCTTTTGTGTTATTTCAGGGTGTGTGTATGTAGTTTCAGAAATCTATAAAATCTTGGCTTTTGTGTAGAGAAGGCAACAAATCCTGATAGGGAACAAAGGAGCTCTTATAAAACAGTAAGTTGAAAAATCTTAGCTTGCAAGGAAAAAATGGAACGGTAGCCTGTTTTCTCTGGACCAGTTCTTTCCCAGGATATGCACTTTTATGAAGCAAGTTCTTCATTCCTCTGTACAAACAAATCTAGGCATCACTGATTCTCCCTTCCTTGGTCGTATGTGGTAGCTGTATGACCTTTGAAGAAACAGCAATAGTCAATTCGAATATTGTTCTGAACCTTTCCAAAAGCAGGTTCTGTATAAACAGAAGTTTGAAAACTATTTTAATGGGTTCTGTGAATTATTCTTACAAAATAAAAATGAAGAATCTTGAAAACTTACTAATTGTTTTTTTTCCATCAAAAGACCCCAGAGAATTGAGAGAACCATTGAATAGTTGACTGGATTTGAGGACTATGAAGGAGAGTTAAAGCTTTCCTGGAAGACTCAAAAGGGGTTCTCTATGCTGGAAGACCTGCATAGGCAGGAAAAAAAACTGTGGTAGAAGGGCTTTTGTTCCTCTAAAGGACTAACTCTTCAGCTGGGAGGGGTTCCAGTCTCATTATTCTGAAACACATGTTAGCAGTGGCTAAAGTGAGATTTTTTTTTCACAGTCCAGCTTGTTCACTGGCTGTGGTTAAATCTGTAAGTTGCTAATCCTAATTCAGAGTACTTCATTTAACTTTGTTTCAAAAGGCTTTTAACAAATTATTTAAATCTCTCCTGTCCATCTATAAATAACATACTTTACAGATTATTGTTGTATAATAAACAATTTTGGCATGTATTAGAAACATTTCAGTAATGACTGAAATCTTCGGAGTTTGCTTCTAATAGGCTGCCTTTCTATATGATAACATTTAGTACTCTTCCTCAATGCTGCCTTGATTAATGCCATCAAATTCAACCTTCTTACTTACTTAATTTTCAAACTTCTCTGTGCTATGTCATCAAGAAGCATTCAACATAATAATTAAATGACTTATGATCTAAAATATTAGTTTCTTCTGAAGAAGGCAAAGCCAACTTCATTTCAGCCACGTGCATAATTGTCAGAGCTGATAAAATGAGTAATCCCAAACCAAGGTTTCGCAATATTAAAGTAAGCATGCATAATTCTTTTGTCTTGTACTCTCATTCTTCCTTTGCATGAAAAAATTAGTGACTTTTCTCTGTTTTGTGGGGAGGATATTTTTGGTATACTGGCTTGATGGTGCTATATTTTTGTTTGACATACAACATTTTCACTTGTTTTGTAACTTAAATTGTTTCATTGGTATCTTTGTTTTGGTATCATACACTCTTTAGTTATAAGGCCACAAGAGGAGAACCGTGAAAAAGTAGCACCTGTATTTAATTAAAAATATATAAATAAATTATAAGACTGATAAAAAGTACCCACGCATGACTTTTTGTACTACAGTAAAATTATCCACTGGGGTTATACAAATCCTTCAAGAAACCTGCTTTGCAATAAACAGACCATTGGAACAGATGCGTCATGCCCCTGTTGGAGACTGACTCTGAGCAGTCAGAGGAGGACCCAGGCCCATCCCTTATCCATCCTAGGGCACGCAGGGAGGAGAGGATCAGGGTAAAATGTGGTCTACTCGGGAGGAGAGGGCTTTATAGGTTGCAGGTGTGAGATCTGCATAAGAGTTTGGTCCTACATGCAGAGGCTAGAGACAATTTAGTGTTTTATTCCTAAAGAAGGTTTATCTTGGTTTGCGTTCTTCCAATGGAATGTACCTGGTTATCTTCCTGAAGTTGGCAATTATCTGTCCTGGTCTGTTGTGGAACTTTATTCAATGCGGTTTGTTTTTGATTTTTGCTTTGTTACCAGCTCTTTGAATTTGAACTGTGTTTCTGTCCTTTGAAATGTTATTTTGAAAATAGTTCACTCCTCCACTGTGAACAATTAAACAGTGAAGCCAAGTTGAAGGCATTAAAGGACTTTATTTTATGTTTTTTTTTTGTTATATTTCTGATATACTCTGGGTCATCACAAGATGCATTTTTTTTCCAGATTCATGCAGTTACTTCATGAACTGCTCCTGGTTGTCTGCATTGGTGTACATATTTACATAGGGATGCTTTGATTTTTTCCAGCAGACCAAAGAGGCAAAGCGTGCCCAACAATTCAGTCACAGCCAGGAACAGATAGGGAAGATGCTACATGAGTTTTTTGGGGGGGACGACATGGTGGCTTACAAAGGATTTTCACATCACTGTTGACTTCTATAGTGCCACAGGTATCTGGAGATGAAAAGGATATACATACAGTGGTATGATTCAGATGGTTTGCACCTATTTGGGAGAACTGTTAACTTTCTGAGCAGTTCGGAGAACCAGTTGTTGGAAGAAATCTACTTTTGTTTTTTTCCCCTACTTTACAGGGCTAATCCTATATGGAAGGCAGGAAGAGAACATTCAGGTGTTGTTTCTAGCCTAATCTTTATTGCCCTGCTTATAGAAACTGCCTCTCAGATATTTATAACAGCTAAAGGTTCTTGGCAGTACGCCCAGACTTACTGTTACCTGAGCTTCTCCTGAGGTTTTTTTTTTCCCCTTTGCTGGTACTTTGCTTTGTTTTATTAGGGGCTTGACTTTCTTAAAGGGGAAAGGTTATTTTAAGTTTTTTACACTGCTGTTGGGAGGAAATAGTCCCCTGTTGGAGTTCTTCCAGCCGGAATGCAACAGTTAGCCCTTTGAAGAAATAATTGAATAATGCAGCAGAGCTGCCAGAAAGAAGCTTTTAATGACAAGGAAACAAGATGAGTGACTTCAACAAGGCTTCTTGGCTAGCTAGAAAGATTGACATTGAAACGTGAGTTTATATAACCTTTCTGGGTTCTAGTCTAACACTGGTTTTTGGTGAAGTTTAATTCTGTGCTTGGTGAGGTTTAATCCTGTGTTTATTGATGGGATAATTTTCCCTATTCAGCTTTGTTTCAAAACTGTGTCTATTTGTTCTGGTTTATTGGTGGGTTTAACAAGCAACAGCTACTGTGTTTGCTTTTTTGCTACATTCTAGCACTTTCTTTGTAGTTAGGCTTATCTCAAGTGTTTACCTTGAGCTTACCTGGGGTTAGGGTTAGAGAGAACTTAAATTACCTCTCTGCTAAAGAGTTTCACTTTATGAGCAAGAGTTGGCTGCTGATAGTTATCACTGCATTTTAACTATTTTAATTCCTCAAGGTGCTTTGGCACCCTGCCTGATTTGTAACTCCAGCTTGCAGGTATTTCTAATGATGGGTATTTAGGACAGCTTTTTGCAAGCAAAGAAGCTTTTTGTATTTTTGTACAGGTAATCCTTGACTTATAGCAATTCATTTAGTGACCATTCAAAGTTACAATGGCACTGGAAAAAGTGACTTATGACTGTTTTTCATACGTATGACCATTGCAGCATCCCCATGGTCACAAGAGGCCAGGAGAGGCAAAGCGCCCCTCAATGTGAGTGATGTCGAGTTGGCCACACCCACCCAGTCACATGACCACCCAGCCACGCCTACCCAGCTGGCTATTAGGGCAGAGAACTGGCTGATAAAGTATTTGAATCCCACCACTATATACATATATGTAAATGTCTACTTGAAACTTTTGACCATTGTGAAATCATCTTGGGGCAGTTCTATCTCAGACATAGTATTGTTAGCTTTTACAAGTCTTGTTGATTCTTTGATTTCATTTACTATCATCATAGGAACTTTCTTACAAATATTTTTCATGAAAATATTTATGCCACAAATAATAGGCATTCCCTGTCTGATTGGTTCGTGAATCAGCAAAGCCATTTGTTGTTGTTATTTTCTGATCTATCCCACCAGACAAATTCTTCTCCCCTCTAGCTATTTTTTTTTTCAAATGTAGAATATTTGAATATTAGAAAATTTAAATGTGTAGAAGAGAAATACAAAACTTCATGATTGGGTAAAATAAGGGGAATGAACAATTTGGAAATATATATAAATTTAAGGAATCTACAGCTAATCTAAAAATATATATTGTGGATTTGATTACTGTTTAATGACCAATATTCACCACCATGCATAACCCCTTCTTTTGCCAATTTCACTTGAATCATGCATTTAAGAAAGGAAGTTCCACTGCATGCTTGAATCAACAGTTAAGGGAAACTTTGAGTGTATTGTTTAGTAGAGCTTGGTGAAATATCAGACTCTACTGATTATTGAGGGGAATTTTGAAATTCAGACTAATATTTTGTGGTAAAATTCTTTTTCCTTAATGTATGTGACTACAGTCTTGCATGCTATCCTTATTATGGTCCAAGCAACAACACTCAATGTAGCCTTCAACTCCCACAATAAATCACTTCTTACTATCATGATGTCTAACAATGTAAGTGTTAGAAGGATCTAATGCAAGTCTTATCTGTCACTATTGATGTTTTGAAGAAGTAAAAATTTGGTTTTGTAGAAATTTTCTTTTAAACCCAGATTTGCCTAAAATGGGGATTTGCTTTCTTTAAAATGCAGTTTGTGGAAATAAAAGGAAGTGTTTTCAAGAAATTTGAGAAGAACAATTTATTTCAGATGTCAAACAGTGGTATGTATATTTTTGGGTGATAACCATTCATGCTAATTTCTATGTGTAAAAATCTGAAATTGTGTGGATTTAGTGACACTGAGTTGTATAGATTTTAGATTGTGGGCTGTGATCTGAGGTGTGTATGAATGGACACGAGCAACTTAGAGAGGAGTCACAAGTGTTTAAATCCATGGGCAGGCGAAACCAGAAGGCTCTCAAATCTCATTCCTCTAAAGGGAATTTAGAAATTGCTAGAGTAAGATCTAAATGGTGATTAACTTGACACATAACAACTGTCTATCAAAACTGTATGTCATTTAGCTAGATATTTATTGGGTTTGCTTGGCCTGCTGTATCAATTTCAAAATCCAAATAACCTATAAACAGCAGCCCAAAATTAAGAACTTGGATTTCTGCAGCCCAATTGTAGTAGTTCTAATTTTATTTATAAGATTGGAACGTGCAAATCCATTTATCATTTTAGAAGTCATGCAAGATGTCACAAATTTTTGAAAGCCATTGATTTAATATTGGGAAGAAAGTTTAGCCCAACCAATAATCTTGATCCCCTCCAAACTTGATCCCTTCTAACCACTTAAGTTGCTAAACTTACTGTATGCCTGAAAAGAGGGTGGCAAATTCTGTAAGTTACTTACCTTGATGAGTCATTGCCAGGCTGAAGATTAGAGGAAAGGAAGGAAGGAAACAAAGAAAATCTTTCTGCCTCGAGGAGCTGAAGAAAAAAAAATTAGTTCTAAAGAAAAAGTAGCACAAATGTGCACCAAACGGCCATGGCAGAAGCTGGGCCCTAAAGGTAGCCAGTCAGGCAGCAAAATGTTTTTTAAAAGCTTTTTGTTACCTGTCAATTGCCTTTGAGGAAATGTGGGTTTCTGGGCATGAGTTAAGCAAGGGAAAAGTTTTGGGAAGCTGGTTCTGCAGCTGCTGCCTGCTTGCATGTGGGCAGCTGACTTTCCCAAAGCTAGAAAAAGCCATGAGAGATATGCAGTCTCCTGATGACCAGTTAATCTCAGTAGAAATCCAATCCATAAGGATGGTTTCATTAGCGAAGCATGGAGGCTAGTTTAGAAAGCTCTCTGCTGTTGCAGTATAATCTAGGTGGACCCCTCCCACTTGCTGAGCTGTTTTTGGCTTTGCAAAGCTTTTGTCTTCCCCCTTTTTAGACCCAGTTGAGTGACGGACCTCCTAAGGCCTCCCTCACCCATGAGATACCCCATGCTTGCTTAACAATCTCTGTGTTTATTTAATAGTGGCATTAGGGAGAGCAGGGGGAGTAATTCAACAAGGTTTTTCACCGGTTGTCATCACTTGCAACTATAATGGACAGGCTCTATTACAGTCATAGGTCGAGGACTACCTGTATGAAATTTTGAGTGGTTTGTTTGCCTTCCTCATAGATCTTTGATACAGTAGGCTTTTAGGAAACTGGAAACTTCTCTAGAGTTAAGAGATAATTACTATTATTACTATCACCATTATTTTAGATATCAAAGAGAGATTCACCAATTATGTGCTGTTACTGATAGTTTGCCTAAGAAATATGGAACAATTTTCATGGAATCCAGGTAAAGACTACTTTAGATATAAACATTGAAATGAAATACTCAAGATATGTTCATATATCATCATCATCATCATCATTTTAGCCATTATCTATCCATTGCAGGATGACAGTCTCTTCTGCATGTTTGCAACCAGTACAGTTCTGAGTTTTCTTTTGTCAGTTGGGCCTGCAATATTTGTTTATGTCCATATATATTAATTGTCAAACATGTTTTTGTTTGTTGCTATAATAAAATGATATATTCTTTATATTTCTTTTTTTTTATAAAGGTTTTTATATTCTTTATATTTCTGTACTACATATTTAAAACATTTTTATTAGATTGTAGAATAAAATACAAAAATATAAAAGCAAATAATAGGACACAGTGGGGTGGAAAAGGGGAAAGAAAAGTGAAGCGTGGAAGAAAAGAAAAGTATTAACTTCCAATTCTCTATGTTGTAGTAGAATAAAAGCATTAACATCGAACCTCAATATTTTACTTTTCCAAAATAATATAAACTAGCCATTTCTATAACAACAATTCAATCAGTAAAACTCCAAATCAAAGTTTTATTTTTTTTCTGCCTCAAGCACAAAGTCCAGAAGCGGTCTCCATGTAGCAACAAAAAGCAACAAAAAATACTTATATACTTTTCTTTACTCAAAGCAGTCACTTTAGCCATCCTTGCCAGTTCATCAACTTCTGTAGCCATTTGTCTATGGTGGAATCGAAATGTCCTTCAATTTTTGTGCATACAGTAGTCTTGCTGCCATCAACATGTATAAGATCAAGTTCCAAATTTTCTTTTCTAAGTCATTTTTCATTAAACCCAAAAGAAAATTTTATGGTTTCATCTTTATCTTCATTTTAAGAACTTTCTGTATTAAAATATGAATTTTACTCCAAAATTTATTTGCTTTATCACATCCACAATAAATGATAAAAGGTCACTTCTTCACTTTTATATTTCCAACACTTTCAAATTTCCAGCGTTCATTTGAAATACCTTTATATATTCTGGATAACTTATCCAGTGTTAAATACCAGCGACACATCATCTTATAAAATGTTTCTTTTAAGTGATAATTTAATGTGAATTTTAAAACTTTCATCACATATTTTCCCATTGTTCAAGCATCAGATTATATCCAAAATTCCCTGCCCACTGAATCATACAATGTTTTATATATTCAATTTCCAGATTAATTTTCAGTGATGTTTTTATAAACCTTAGCAATAATACGTTCTTTTTAAGTCCTTTTTAATATCATTCCAAAGAGGCACATAATTATTTTGAAACAATTTTATGTTTGTGTTTATCAACATAACCCCAAGTATTTTTCCTTTTCCTCAACCTTAAAATCTGACTTTTTAGTCAATGTATCACCATCCTGAGATGACATATTCTTAATCAACATTATTGTTTTTTATTTGTTTATTTAAAAAAAAAAAACCCAAAGCCCCAAACTCATTTAATTTCCTCAACAAATATTCTGTTATTTTTTTATCTTACAAGAATATAACCAGATCATCAGAAAATGCCCTCAATTTATAAATTTATCTCTTGATAGATATACCCATTAATTTATCATCTTGCCTTATATCTCTATTCAAAACTTCTAACACCAAGATAAATAGAATTTAACATGAGTTAGTTAAATTAACATTAATGACAATTTTTGCTTTCTATGACATGTAAACAGCTTTGACTCCTTGAATAAAGTTCTCTCCAAAGCCCATTTCTTCCAGCACTTTAAACATAAAAGCTCAATTTAAGTTGTCAAAGCTCTACATCTAAAAATATTAAAGCTGCCTACTTCTCATTATGATATTGTAAATATTCAATAATATTCAATACAGTCCTCACATTACCTCTTAGCTGACTTTCTGGCAGGAAGCCAGATTGGTCTACATGTATTTGTTATTGTTAGTTGCGAAGTCATGTCTGACCTATCGCAACCCCACGGACAATGTTCCTTCAGGCCTTCCTGTCCTCTGCCATCTTCTGGAGTCCATTTAAGCTCCTGCCTACTGCTTCAGTGACTCCATCCAGCCACCTCATTCTCTGTTGTCCCATTCTTCTTTTGCCCTCAATCTTTCCCAGCATTAGGCTCTTCTCCAGTGAGTCCTTCCTTCTCATTAGGTGGCCAAGTATTTTGAGTTTCATCTTCAGGATCTGGCCTTCTAAAGAGCAGTCAGGGTTGATCTCTAGGACTGACCAGTCTGATTGCCTTGCAGTCCAAGGGACTCGCAGGAGTCTTCTTCAGCACCATAGTTCAAAGGCCTCAATTCTTTGGTGCTCAGCCTTACTTATGGTCCCACTTTCACAGCCATACATTGCAACTGGGAAAACTAGCCTTGACTATACATACTTTTGTTGGCAGGGTGATGTCTCTACTTTTTAGTATGCTTTCTAGATTTGCCATAGCTTTCCACCCCAGGAGCAAGCATCTTTTAATTTCTTGGTTGCAGCCCCCATCTGCGGTGATTTTGGAGCCCAGGAAAATAAAATCTGTCTTTTCCCCATCTACAGTATTTGCCAGGAATTGAGAGAGCTGGATGCCATGATCTTAGTTTTCTTAATGTTGAGTTTCAAGCCAACTTTTGCACTCTCCTTCTTTATCTGCATCAAGAGACTCTAGTTCCTCTTCACTTAAATCTAGTTTGATAATTTAGGCAGCTGTTGTCTTGAAAGGTACTCATCTAGTTTTGACATATCTAACTTCTGTCTTTTATACAAGAATAAAAATTATAAAAATACTTTTTGATAAGTTCATTACCTGTTATTACATTGCTGCCTTCACAAATTTTCTCAATCATTCTCTTTTCACTTTCCTTTCTTAGTTTATATGCCAACTATCTCCCTGGTTTATTTTCAAACTCAAAGTGTCTTTGTTTAGCATACTTCAGTTTTGTTTCTATTTCTTGTACTGTTAACATGGACAGTTGTTGCCGTAGCAGTTTAATTTTAGTTTTCGGATCTGTAGATCTTTTGCAATTTGATTTTTCTCTGTCTGATTTCATTTATTATTGCATCTTTCCTGGACTTTTTCTTCTCTAAGCAGTTATACTGTATAAAATAACCCCTCACAACAGTTTTACTAGCATCCCACACAAACTTGTCCCTTTATCTAAATTATTATCAAAATATTCATGTAGTTTCTTTTTATAATCTTTTACAATCCTTTCGTTTTGCAAAATAGATTTATTTGATCTCCATCTGAAGCTCAAACTCTCCTCTTAGTACCAAAAGCACTAAATTGTGATCAGAAAAGGATTTAGGTAACATATCTACTTTTAAATTTTTATTTGCAAGTTTTTTAGAAGGCCATATCATATCAATCCTTGAAAAAGAGTTATGTCTTTCTGAAAAAAAAAAGTTATGTTCTCTGGTAGAGCCATTTTATTTCCCATGAATCTATTAGTGTTAAATTGTTCATCATCTCAAAAAAGGTCTTTGGTAATTTACCCTGGGAATGGTTAACTCCCTAAGTAGATGATCTATCCAAAGGTGGTGTAATTACTCCATTCCAATCCTCCAACATAAACTAGTTTTCATATGAAAAGGGTGATAATTGATTCATCAGATATTCAAAAAAAATCACTTTTATCATCCTTTGGCCTGTATACGCCAACCAGTATTTATTTTATTCCATATTCATCTGTTATAGGTAGCTTAGGTTTAAGTTGAGAGTTTATATATAAAATAACTCCATGAATCTTTTTAAACCAGCAGATATTTATTTATTGTTCATTTTATTCTTTATATCTTTGTATTGCCATTAGATTTTGAGTTCTGACTGGTACATTATTTTAATTCCATCTATTACAAGTTACTGAAGTGCTTTTAGTGAGATGATAACAAACGACTCTGCCTTGTATTTTGCTCTGCTCCATATACAGTATATTCAGTAGAATACAATTCATCTCAGTATTTTTGGTTATATGCAATTTCACCGTTGTGCAGATGAGACTTGGGACCCCAATAGTGTCAGAAAACTGGTCTTGGTTGACATTTTGCCTACACACTGATTAAATATTTGTCGACTTAGCTTTTATAATTATGGATTGAAAATCTGCACAAAGAGCCAACTATTTACATTATTTTACTCCAAATACTGGCTTATTCTGATACCTGCCGGAAAGAAATCTTTGTCATTAGATCTATTAATCATCTGATAAGATTTTCATGGCCCTGTTCTGTTTGGGAAGAAGATTCTCATGTGGCTTGCAGTTAAAAAAACCTAAATGGATGGAAACCAGAGGGGTTAGAGTTGGGTTACCTGGGATAAAAGCAGCACACCCAGTGCAGCCGCACACTTAAAACTTTTTACAGGCTGATTTAAAAACATCTGATCTTTGAAACAAACATCAGTGTCCTGGTTCTGATCTCTGCAAATCAGTCTAGCCTTAGGCCTAGCAGCTTAAGAAAGGAGAATATGCAACTGTCTTTCATATGATTAATGTTGATGACTGTTATGCTTTCTCCTCTAGTCTCAGCATTTGAAAAGATTTAAAACTAGGCTTAGTTCTGGTTTCCACCTCCAGTTTATGATGCACTATGTGGAGTTGATGTAGCCAGGTCCAATTTGTTCTCCCTTCCTTGAACACTATAAAGGCATTGCACATTTTGTTACAAGGACATCTGCTCCTGTAGGGGAGATAGAAATTTGCAGAACCTATTTGGTATTTAATTAAGAAATCAATTATTCTTTTGATCTTTATGATACTACCTTTATAAAATTCCAAAAGCCCAAGGTCTTCTCAAGCCCTGGCAAGAGAAGATCAACCACTTTTAATGACTCTGCACTGAAAGATAAGTGCTTTATCTACAAAATTTGTTTTCTGAGAATTTAAAGTATAATGTGAAAGATTCTATTTTACATATATTGGGGAGGGGGGAATGCAAAATAAGACATTCCATCTATGTTTAGGCAATTTCTTTTTGTTCCAGACCAAGTTTATTCCTGTGAATTCCTTCCTTCTTTTACAGATCATCTGTGGGTATTATTCCCTGATGTCTGTATGGTGATTGCATCAGAGGTTGCTGTTGATATTGTGAAACATGCTTTCATAACCAAATTCAATGACATTACAGCTGATGTAAGTATATAATTAAACATTTCCAAATGATTGGACCAAATCTGCTTCATGTTTTGTAGAAGAAATGAGGGAAACGTGACCTTGCCTTTCTCACCTCTGCATGGGTTACTCCCATTGATTAAAAATAGCTAAATATACCGTACTTCTTTTTTAATGGAATTAGAGCTTACAAAATTAATTAATTATTATAATTATACTTGGGGCTGTTCCTAAAGGTAGGCTCCCTGTGTTGAGTTCTTCCCACCATCTTTGTACTATGGAGCATTGTTTTCAAGAGCAGTGCTGGCTTGGAAGTTCTGGAAGTTGAAGTCCACCATATCTTAAAGTTGCCAAGATTGAGAAACACTGACAGAGAGAACTATCTGCATATTAAAAACTTAAAAATAACTTGTAAACTTAATGGATAGCATACGTTGAGGATAGAAAAAGACAGGAATGATTATATTGTAGCATGGAAAAACAATCCATGCTGATTATGGGAGAGAGCTTACAATAATCGCTGGTTCCTTCTGCTCAGATTTACAGCTAACCTGCAACTTTTTGTCACCTTTTCCAATATTGGCAACATCGCAAATCATACCTGCTTACTGGAAACAATAAGTAGCTTTATTTGCTTATCTCTTAATTCTGTTCCTGAGCAAGATTTTAACAGAACTCTGCATAATAATACTGTCCTTGACTTACGGACATAATTGAGCTGAGAAAACAAGGTCAAAAAATGGGTCACTACATAACGCCAAATTTTCTTTGCAGTCATTATGTGATGGTGCAAATAGCCATAACTGCTGGCCCATTCCAGGTGTCCAAAATGCAATCATGCAACGGGGGTGGGGAGGAATTGGAACTTTGAATCTGGATCATAAGTAGCCCTGGGGGGGTCTGTTGTAACTTTGAAACAGTCACTGAGTTATAGTCGTAAGTTGAGGACTACTATACTTTTTTTTAAATTGATGGTCCTTTTATGTATCTTTTTTTTTAAAAAAAAATACATGTCTATTGTTACAAAGTTGAAGTACAAAAGAAATAGGAAAAGAAAATGTTGAAGCACAAAGATGGAAAAGCAAGATGACACTGTATTTGAATTTATAAAAACCTAGTGAAAATTCCTGTATCTATAATTCAGTTTTGATGTATCTATATATAATAAAGGCCAAAACTAAGGATTTACTAAACATTACAATACACATTAATAGCAGCAAGAATAAACTTAGCACAAGACCCAAAAAGAGATACATCGAATACACAGGGAAACTAAAATGAAACAATAAGCTGCAATGCTAAAATTGACACTATACATCCATCATAAAAGTTAAACTAAATGTCTTCCTTATATACAATATATTACATAGCTAGGCAAATTTAGACATATGTTTTTAGGACTCACATACAAACTAACAGCAATTACTAAGTGTCTAAACAGTGGTTCATGCTTGGGGATACAAATAAAAGGAAGAGGTAGATAATTATTTTTTCTCATTTCCTTCAATATTTTAAATTACTATTCTAGGTAGGATTGAAATCTCCAGTTTACATAGGGGTTCCATTTCAGGAGCTATACCAATCTCAATACGAGGGGTCTGTCAGTGTCTGATGTCACAATAAGCCTTAGGGTTTCTTATGGGGCCCCATTCTCATCTCTATTGGTTCAGTGACAAATGTCATGTTCCCCCCTCTCCTCCGCTCCACTATTGACCTGTCCAGCTGGCAGAAAGCTGCAGGTACTTTAAGTTTCCTGAGTCACAGAACCAGTTTTTTGACTTCAACCCTATCCTTTATACTTTTCTTCTAACCACATACATGCTTCACAACTTCACTAACTGTCACTTTCCTTAAACACCTGTGTACATTATTCTCAGTTCCTCATTTTCAACAGTTTCATTCTTCCTGTTTTAAACATTCATCCAAGTGCATACTTTGCAAAAATATGTTTTCACAGTTAGCAACGGCTCAGCAGGATTACAAATAGTTTTGGTATATTTTGAAACCATCCTAGCTGAAAACTATGGTTCATGTCTCTTTCTTCTGGGGTCTGCTATTACCCATAGAACTTATTGAATCTAATAGATCAATAAGCTATATCCTTGATTCTCACAAATTCAACTTCTTTGACTAGGACATACCATCCATGGAGGGTATGTGGTGGCACCCCTGGAGATGCAGGTGTAATAGATGTTGTTATTCAGCCCATCTTGGAAACACTATATCAGCACGTCTTGTGGCCAGTGGGTTAGTCTGCATACTAGGCTATGGAATTCTTGAGTGTAGGCAGCCATAGGTTACCAACCTTGGCTTATGATTTTGATTCTTGTCCTGGCCTTCCAGTCCACGAGGGGATCTTCAAATCTCTTCTGGAGGGCTGTCATGAACCAATTCAGGTTGTGCAGCTCCGGGCATCATCATTGTTCAGGGAACCATTCACTCTACAGTACTCCCCTCCAGGACTAGGGTCACACTTCTCACTTTGGCCCCTTCTGTTGGTACATTGGCTCCATATTCATGCATGTAGGACCGCATTTGGGTTAGGAACAATGCCAATTGCTTTGGGTCTCCGCCGAATCTCACCCCAAAATCTGGTTATCTGTGCTTTCTTGATTGAGCAGCCCAGGTAGCGGCAATGGCTGGGCTGCTGGAGCTGGAGCTGATTCTAGGGGAGCAGGCGCTTCAGCAGCCACTGTAGTGGGTAAGGCCACATCATTGTCTGCCTGGCCCTGTGCCAGTTGTGAGCAGATGATGGTGCTATCTGAGCTAGAGCTTCACATGCTCAGAGGTTGTCAAAGGTGCCCTTCTGGAATTTGATGGCTTGTTCGACAAGCAGCTATCGTGGTCTGGTCACTTTGTCCTCATCCTCGGCACAGGTTTTTTTCCGACAACTTCCTTGGCTCCCCTCGGTGAAGGTTACTTTGGAGGGTCTCTCCACTCAATCATCCTTCTTTCTGACTCCCAACAACCATTGGGGTTTTGGCTGGTTGTCGCAGCCCTTTGCCTCCCTCAGCTATTCGGGGTATTCTTCTCCACTTAGGGGCCTTGGTTTGGCCTCCCCCCAGTTACCTCTTGATCGCTCTCTTGCACAGACACCTCATGCACAGTCCCCACAATAGAGGAACGTCTCTGGGTTGATCAAAATTGTAGATCTAGCTTAATGAAAGTAAAGTTAGATCTGAGTATTCCCATGCAAAGTTTACTAACAACTCCTAAAATATTTCTATGTCTTCTAAGAGTTGCCAACAGAAAGGGAGCGGGGAGCAGTGCAGCAGCTTGCAAACCAAAATTGCATTCCATAAATGTTTTCAAAGATAGTAACTAGGTGATTGAAGTTTCTGCCGCACAAAATTCTAACTGGAGAGCATGATAAATGACTCTTGGTTATGGATGTGTCCCATTGGAGAATATGTATTACAATACACCCAGGGGTGGGGGAAACCAGGGTCAAGGGTAACGATTCAGCTATACCCAGGCCGTTCCAGGTGGGGAAGAAGATTTATCTCCACCAAATACTTGAGCTTAAGACTCCCTAGCAAGAAATTGGGGCCAAAGTGCATGGGACCATTCCCCATAGTAAAGGTCATCAACCCAGTCACAGTGCAACTGAAGTTGTCCCGACTGTTAGGGAAAATACACCTGGTATTCCATAGTAGCCTCTTAAAACCCATGGTGGGATCAACCCAGAGGCCCCTATCTTTATGGGGATCGTTTGGAATAGAAACAAATGCCTCAGCAAAATATTCATTTTTATAATTGCAAGCCTTCCTACCATTGATCCTACCAATGCAAAGTTTTCCATTTTTCCAAGCCCCCCCCCTTCCCCGCTAATGATTGTATCCTGGAATGAGAGGAACATAGGAGGTTAATTCAGTCAGTCCCTAACCACCTCTCCCCCCCCACCCTCCAGGAGGACCCTTTGGCTTATCAGGGAATTGATCATGGAATTGCTTCACTATCTGCCTTCACATCCCAGCTCTTAACCCACATAGCCCCAGACAAAGGGTATCCGTTCCAGTGAACTAAATATTGCAATCAACCCCTGTGTAGTTTAGGAATCTAAAATTCTCCTCACTTCATAACGGGTTTCCCCTTGTACCACTATTGGCTTGGGTGCTGATTCCTTTTGAGGTCTCAATCTTGGGCTGACAGCAGGCTTTAGTAAGCTGCTCTGAAAGACTGGGATATGCGTGGGAGGTTAAGCTGAACTGTTACTGGGTTAATTACTTTCATTATCAGAAAGGCCCTAAGAACTTAGGTCCTAACTTTTTGCTGGGCAGTTTCAATTTAATGTATTCGATTGACAGGTAGACTTGATCTCCCACACGGAAGGGGGGCTGGAGAGATTGGTGCTTGTCTGCTTGGTTTTTTATGTTTCTGAGGCTTCTGCTAGTGCCGTGTTGGCAAACCTATGCCACGCGTGCCGGAAGTGGCACGCAGAGCCATTTCCCCCGGCACGCGAGAGGTTGCCCAGAAGAGCCACACTGTGCATGCACACGCACGTACCGCTGCCCGACAGCTGATTGTCGGGTATCTAGCACGCATGTACAGGACGCAGAGGGGGTACGCGGGAGGCGCATGTGCAGAGACATCCTGCGCGCAAGGGGAATTGCATGCGCAGACGTGCGGTGCACGAGGAATTCTTGCATGTATGCGCAAAGACGCACGGCACAAGGTGGGAATCGCATGTGGAGATGCACACTGCACAAGGAGGGTCGTGTGCACATACTCAGGGGCGTGGGGGGCCAGCACGCACTGCCTTCTGGGTGCTGGCACATGACTGCGCGTAAGCAAGTGCACGTGCAAGTATTGGCACGGGAGCTGAAACAGGTTAGCCACCACTATGCTAGTGCTTTCATGGTGTTTTCCCAGCCCTTTTTTAACAACTCCATCCATTCAGCTAGGGCAGGGGTCTGCAACCTTAAACACTCAAAGAGCCACTTGGGCCAGTTTCCCCAGAAAACAAAACCCTTGGAACCACAAAACCTGGATGGACGTGGCCAACTTGATGTCACTCACTCCCAGCCATGCCTACCCAGATTTTGTGGCTCCTGTGTTTTATTTTCTATGGGAAATAAATATCTCCCCCTCTATGTCTCTCTCTTTCCCTCCCACTCATCTCTCTTTCTCCCTCTCTATCTCCCTCTCTCGTCTCTCTTTCGCTTGCTCATCTCTTTTTCTCTATCTCCCTCATCCCTCTCTCTCTTCTCTCTCTCTCTCATATCTCTTTCCCTTTTTCTCTCTGTCTCTCCCTCTCTCATTTTTCTCTCATCTCTTTTTCTCTCTATCTCCCTGTCTGTCATCCCCCTTTCTCTTTCATTTATCTCTCTCTCCCTCTCTCTCCCTCTCCCTCCCTCCCTCCCTCTCTTCCTCCCTCCCACTCCCCACCTTTACTTCCCAATCCACACACTCAGGGAATAACTGTAAAGAAATTCAACCATGTTCTCTCTGTTTCTGGAAAGATACAAAAATAAACCTTGCCTTGCAAAAGGAGTGACTGTCGGGTTGTTACATCACAGCGCCACGAGGTTGCCACCTTCGATCATTGCACGCACTTCAGAAAAGCGTCATCCCAAGCAGCAGCACACTCACACAGGCACGCAAATAGTTCCTGGGCGCCCCCGAAGACACTCGGCAGGCAAAGTATGGGATGAAATTCCCTCCCCCCCCCAATTACCAAGGCAGTGTCTGCTAAATCCTTGCACAACTGAGCAAGGTGGAGAGGAGAGAGTAGACAGAGCCATGTCGTCAGCTGACAGATTCTTCTCCCCTGGGATGTACCTTAGCTCAAAGTTAAACCCCCAGGAATACTGCAGCCAGTGGATTTGGTTGAGGAAGAGTTTTCAGGATGATTTTAGGGCTTTGATGTTTCTGTGAACAGTCCAGACCTTGAAGAGCATCTTTCTCACTTCCAAGAAGTGCCTCCAGGAGAGGAGAGCCCAGCAGACTGCGTAGGCCTCCTTCTCCCGTATCACCCACAGCCTCTCGGTGTCAGTGAGCTTTTTGGACACAGACACGCAAGGCAAGTGCCATTCCTGTGGCTCCTTTTGGAGGAGCACTGCTGCCCATTGGCATGTTGGCTTGGACTGATAGGCGGCATTCACGGTCGGGGTGCTGGAGAATTGGCTCCTTGGCGAAGAGACACTTCAATTTCTTGAATGCTTTTTGATCATCCAGCATCCAGGCCAGCAGTTGAGTTGGGCGCAGTTTCGCAGGAGCGGGGGAGGGCTGTTTTCAGTAGCTCTGTTAGGCCACTATTGCGAATGGTGGAATGAATTGCCTGTAGAAATTTGCAAACCCCAGGAAACTCTGGAGTTGCTTGTGGGTGCAAGGGAGTTACCAATCTAGCACCGCTTTCACCTTCCCTGGATCCATTTCGATCCCCTCGCTTGACACTTGGTAGCCCAGGTAGTCCAGGGAAGTCTTATGAAATTTGCACTTAGAGAGCTTTGCATAGAGCTTCACAGCTGGTTTGGCAGGATCTGTTTTACCTTCTATCTTCTATCCTCCTTTTAAGGACACAAACACATATCCCGATTATTATCCCTAGTCCAGCTGAACCAACCAAATAGTTTTATTTTTAAATAGTTTTCATATGCACATTTATGTATCTTTTCTCTCTAATAATAATTGCCTGCTACTAATCTGACAAATGGTTAATAAAAGGATTTGCATATGTTATCCTGTCTGCAGGTTTACAGTGAATACAAAGCCAGCCTTGCCTTTGACTTTGTTAGCAGTCGACAGAAAAATGTAAGTGTTGGATTGTAGTTTTATACATCCTCTTTTATTCAGCACAGGGAAATGCGCACATTTAATTAGATTGGCTTGCAGTTAAATTTTACATTAGGAAGAAACTTGAAAAACATTGCAATCTGAGAGATCACCATATGTAACTTGGATCTCTGTGTGAAGTTGAACTTCCAAAGACATCCCTGTGGCCACAAGCACATAATTTAATTTCCAGTATTCCTAGGAAATGCCTTTCACTTGCACTATTTACATCATAATGAAGTAGGAATAAAATATTGTAGTAAGTAATCCTAGTTTTAAAACCATTCAGTGCCTGTTAATTTGTATGATCTCGGGGCCTTCCGTTTGATGATTTAGAAGTGTCAGAAAATTCTCCTAATGACAAATTTGACATATTTTGTCACTTTTGCGGCAACAGGTATAGAAATAGATTGCTATTTACTTCAGCTGCTCAGGGTGGCCTGCAGGTTTACTGCTTCCTGGTGTTCTCCCATCAAAGTACCCTTCAAGGTACTAACCCATCAGATTTTCTTGTTTGTTTGTTTTTTCAGCTAAATTCTGCCCCGAAACACTAATATCTGCTGATCAGTTGTGAACTGACTTTAAATTCCCTTTATGAGTGTGATTTTAAAGTAAATAAATTTGCAATACTTAAACATATTTAGACTTACTTCAATGTTTTGCCTGTTCCAATGCTTTTTTTCACGGTCTCCTCTCTACCTCCAGGCATATACAGATTACAGTGACTCTGTTTCCAGGCGAATGGGCTTTATTCCACTCCCACTGGCTGTTTTAGTAAGTCATATCTTTTTTCACAAAGTAGCTAGTGAAAATTGTCCCAAAGGATGAAATAATATTTCCCTGAGCATGGTAGTTCATAAAAATAAAATAATATTGACTCTTAATTTTAAAATTTGGATAACTCTATACTGTAATTGTGGACTTGGTGAACAAGATTTTCAAGTTAAATTGAGATGACCCTCTGTCTTGGGTTAGAGTATGGGTTATTGTATGTTATTGAAATAAAAATGTGTGTCACTGCTATCTGTTAAAATAATTTAACATGGGGTATCTTAAATATTACATCATATTTAAAGTAACTTAAACAATTTCAACTACACACTCATCTCTTTTCAGAAATAATTTTAATCCCTGTTATTTCTCTTTCTAGCTCATTAGAGTTGTTACAAGTTCTGTAAAAGTCCAAGGGGTCTTGTCCTATTCCTGTGTTATTCTTTTCTGTTGTGGGTAAGTGCAAATCAAATAATTGTATAAAGCTTATCTGTAGGAAAAACAGAATACCAAAAAACAACATGCAAAAGTTCTTACACTGAAGTCCCATTTTTGATTATCAGCACAACAGAGTTGGTAAAGGAATGCTAAGTACAAAGACTTAAGCTTTTAGTATATAAATAAAATGCTTAGAACTACCGCAAGATTTCTTTATCATGACAATTATTGCTAATCCCACTGGTTAAATATACTTTGTCTCATTTAGCTTTTAAGAAAATATTTTAATTAAATAAATACAACACGTGATGGCAAAGGGTACACAAAATTAGAATAAAAAAGGAAATAAAAGCATACAAGATGTATACTTGCAGACATACACATATTAATAAACTGAGGCCATGATTTATTTATTAGTCATCCATATTTATACTATTGAGCAGTTCTGAAAACTGCTCAATAGTTGAAGTCACCTGTTTATGTTTCCAAGGTTAGACAATAAGTCTTTAGCTAATGTGTTCATTTTCTCTTTACAAAAGTCAACTCGCACTTTAAAACATGCTTCCAATTTATTTATTTATTGGACTTTTGTGCTGCTCATCTCATCTAGAGGCGACTCTTACTAGAAGGCTAAATTTCTAAAGATGGAAAAAATTTATTTTACAGAATTATTATCCACCATAACGTTTATTTTGAAAGCAAATCCTGCTACTTTTAATGGAATTAACTTTCCACTAAGTACATTTGGTATCATAATTTGGTATCAATGCCCAATTCATGATTTAGTTAAGATTTCCAGGTGTTGGCAAACTATTGCAGTAGGAAATTTCATGATGAATAATAATGAACAATAATAAAATAAAATATTTTATCATCAGATTAGTATACTTTTATCCAGCTGGCTTGAAGATGTCAGGTACAAACTTTTAGAATTTATTGCAGAAATCAAATCCAGAAAGAACACATAGATGACTGATTCAGCAGGACTCATTAACTTTTTTATATACATAATAATATATGAGTAAAATGTACAGCACCAATAGTAGATTCTTCCAACGTAACACAAGCAAAAGACAAGCAGCAGCTTCAGAGCAGAGAACAGAGATAAGCCACGCCCAGACACTTCCTTTTACTTTCAGTTTCTAATTCAGCTCACATTGGCTGATCTATTGCCTTGCTGTTCATTGGCTGACTTTGTTACCATGTCTCTGCCAGTTCATGAATATTCTGACACAAACCTCTCTATTGGGTGTGGAAGTACAAGGAAAGGTGTGAGAGTGCGTGTTTGCCTTCCCTGCTGCCCCTGACACAGTCAGTATTGTAGGGTGTTGACGTTAGAGTATGATGGTAATATGTTGCAGGCTAATTATTGGGAGGCCTCCTTGAAGTTGGACTCAGTAGCATCTTCCCCCCTCACCTTTTAAGAATATCACTGGTGGCTGGGTGGTGGGTCTTCATCTGCCTCAGCCAGATTTTTGCGAAAAGCAGAACCACGTGTCCTGGTCAAGGCAGGCAAATTCATCTGAAGCCCCTTCTTGGAGGCACATCAAGTACTTTACAAAAGTGAATCCAGGCTCCCTGGCACAAATGTAGTACTTTTGTCCTATATTTCTAATTAATGCACAGCGGAAACACGCACAGCAGAAACGTTGTGTATGTGTTCTACTAATAATCAGTTTGAGGAGGCCTCTGGGGAGGTGAGTTTGTTCAGGCCGTGATACCTAATCCTGTGTTCTTATTGTTTTCAGTTTAATATCACTTAAGGTACTCAACAGCATTGTTTTGCTGGGAAAGTCCTGCCACTATGTCAAAGAAGCAAACATGGAAGAGAAGTTGTTCAACCCACCTCCTTCCAGCACCCCAGGAAAATCAGTCGGCAAACAGAGCAAGTACAAGTCTCCTCAAGGTAAGTGAAACCTCAAAATGCTGACTCCGGTATTAAGCAGAGGCATCTTATTTGACTCAGTATAAAGTGACTGGTAGCATCTAAAGAGCTAAATCTTAATAGTTCTGAATAAAACCAGCTTTGGACTTTTCTCCTCTTCAGAAGAATTTTGCAGGATTTGAAGTGCATATGAACCCTCAGCAGTCCTTATATTGCTTCAGAGTCTTCAGACCATCCTCCAATGTTTATGGCCCATGCGTGTATACTCATGCATTGAGAGGACATGGTATGATCTCAAGAACAAATGGGATATCCTAAAGCTTTGCACCCTTCTAATCCCCTCCCCAAATACCAATTTTTCCTGTTATCGGGAATTGTAACAGCTCAAAAAGACTTCAATAAGCCTCAAATGCTACCACTACACCCTTCCTCCAAAATCCAATAATTTGGCTCTGTTTGGCTTAATATAATTGTGATATTTTGCCACCAGTAGAAAACCAAAATAAAGTCTGTCCTCCTAGAATTGATGCAGTTATTGGAGGCAATATTTTGCTCTTTAAGAATCTTATACTTACTTCTACATAGAAGTAAAAAGAACAGTCTTGATAGTTGGGATATTTTTATGAAGGCTCATTTAGTACAAAGGGTGGCTTATTTTGTGTTGCTAGGAGGTATAGATTGGTGCAAAGGAGAATAACAGGTCTATTCCAAACTCTTGAATACAGTATAGCTTCCTTGCTTTTCACACAGGCATGCATGCAAGGAAGTAAGTAAGGTAATAGCTTACATGGCCCTATGTGTTACAGAAAAATTGGCCAAGGGAACAATTTTTAAGGACAAGATTTAAAAAACCCATTAAAATCCCACAGTAAAACAATGAAAGTGCACTCTGTGCCTGTTTTTTCATCTTGCTTTTTATACAAGCAGTCCTAAAAATGAACCCACTTAAAAAAACAAGCCAGACCAATGCATTCTTTTCAAAACTGCCCATGAACATCACAGCAGCTGCATTAAGTTTTCTTCTTCATAAGGCGGACTTTTATATTTTCAAAGCTCATTGAAACAAAACTTTTTGCCACCAGCATTCTAAAAACTCCAGACATAATATTCAGGATACAATTCAAAATTCTAACTTCCCCATGGCACAGTTTTTAAAATGAGTACAGAGCTTACCTGTCAAAGAAGCAGCGATCATTTTATGAGTCCCAAATGGTTTGCTGTTCCAAACACAAATAATTGCTTGTTCTTTCTTTCCCCTTCCTCTCTTCAAAGGGCTCTAGCAAATGGCAGTTATACCTGCTATTTGATTTGCTAATTTGCTCTTTCAGTTTTCACTGCAGAAATAGTTTACATAAATAGATAAATAACAGATCTAGGAAACAAATAAAAAAGCAAGCTGCAAGAACAGTGTTACTTAAATAATCTCATTTGTCCCAAGATTGGAATAAAAAGTGGTACCCCAGCTAATTTGGGTAAAAATTTCCTCCCATTTGTTCCATTTCTGATTAGGAAGTTTTCTATTTGATTAAAGAGCACCAGCTTCAGGAAGATATAATTCTTTAATGTGATATTTAAAGCTTTTCCAAGTTAGTGCTCATAATTATATGCTATAATTATATAGTCCCCCCCGTTGAATGAAGATGTGTTTTATGCTGTCCTGTGCTAAGAGTTCCTATTGTTATGACAACGGAGACAAAGCTTCATCTTACATTTTTGTGTAATGAGTTGTTCTATCTGCTAAGGATACTCAAACCACATTCAAGGCTTCATGTCATGAATGCCTATACACACCTTCATGCTTTCTTATTTATCGGCTGAAAGGTCCTATATGAAAATGGTATCATATGTCATCAAAGAACCCAAAATATCACTTAGTGTGGAACATTATCATTAACAAACCAAAGAAAATGCATGACTGAATTCTTGAAAACCCAAACAAAGTAGTTTGAGTTGTCTTGTGTTTTCCCTGAGACAAGGTGCTATATTACACCGTTGCAGCAAATCCAATGAAAAGTGTAATGGCACCTTTGTATCTGGTGAAAAAGGCTGCAATCCATTTGTTAGTCTTGAAAATGCCATAAGGGTGTTGCTCTTTGACTCCCCTGTTGAGGTAATTCCCCGTTAGGAGAATGAGCGCATACAGGGAGATGTATTTAGTAGCGTATACAGTAGTGTTTGAATAATACATACATAGCACACAGATACACTGTGCAATAAATGTAGGTTTTTACTTCCAGAAAGGTTTAAGCAAAGTTCGAAATAAGCAGTCCAAAATCATTCACAGGTAAATCAGTCAGTTTTTCAATCCAGGGATAATTCAGTAACAAATTCCAGTGTCAAAACCAGTTCAGTATCAGACTTAAATCAAATCCAGGAATATCAGTCAATTAGGAAAAATGGAGGAACAGCAATACTTTCCAACAGAAAGAAACAGAGACTTACTCACACTCTCTCTGAGACTAAGACTAAGACAACCCAGGTTTCTGGCTCCATTTTATGGCCCTTTGAGAAAACACCCCCAACTACAGTTTTGCGTTTTCTTAACGATAGTTTTAAAATGTTTATCCTGGTTTATATATTTCTAACCCAAATACCTGTTAGGTGATTTATATTCCTAACACATACACCCATTCCTCCCTTAGAAATATATTTTATTGGTAGACACTGCACTAGAGTCTTTTTGAGTGAGTGGCTATAGTGATCTGTGATAAAGACAACAAAATAAGTTTGTGCTTATATTTCACACAGGACTTTCCACTGAGGAAGGCTTCTCTGCTTCAGTGACCAGTCAGCCTGTGCACCCAAAGGAAAATATAGCTCCCCAACTGGTGACAAGTCCCTCTGACCAGTTTCTGACCACTCCTGACGGAGATGAGAAAGACGTATGCCAAGACAACGCAGAATCCAAATTCAGATCTACAAAGAAAGATTTGCTGGAGATAGACAGGTTTACCATTTGTGGAAATCGAATTGACTAGCAGACTGTGAGTGAGAGACTGAGCAGTTGGAACAGGAAGAGCTGTCAGTGACAGACAGATGCCAAATAGGCATACCAATATTTATTTAAAACTTAAATTATTAAACAGCAAATCTATTGACGGGGTGTAAGTTGGCTTAAAAATGGATCAAGCATCAGCTTTGTAACTTTGGTATTTTGAAAAATGGAATGAGTTTTTTTTTTTTAAAGAAAGAAAGAAACCAGAGCTGCAGGGTCACTTTTCTGAAAAGTGACCTACCTCTAAACCCCTTTTCCTATATGAATCTGTGCTTCATTGACACTTTGTTTTGCCAGGCCATAGAGAATTTTGAAAAAAATCTTGAGAAGCACCTCTCCCCTTGCTTTCCGGAGCAGATCTCTCCCTCAATTAAAAATTACTACTACTGTCCCAAATCTTAAGCTTTTAAATCAAAAATTAATCATAACAAGGAAAAAGTTGAAAGTTTGAAGAAACAAGAAGTCAGGAACGTATCCTTTGCTCTTCAGCATTTTAAGTATCAATGTAGAAATCAGTATGCTTCAGTTCCAGCTGCCAGCCTATTCACTGCAAGAATTTTCTTTGTGTTATATGTCAAACAACTGAAGAGTATTTCTTTTTTTTTGCTTTGGCTGGAAAAGCTGCATGTCATCAAACAACAGACTGAAATAGATTTTCCTGAAAATTAGCTTTATGAAATGCTTGGTTTTGAAATACGAAGCAGCTTCACTTGATGTGTATAGAGGAGTGCACAGAAGATTAAGACAAGAATTATGGTTCTTTTTAGCTCAACATATTTAAGAGCAAATGTATACTCAAGGTGCTCCTTTCTTCTCTATCCTCAATGCCTAAGAAACACAATGCAATATCAAGTGTCTTTTTTTTAAATATAAAGCTAAATTTTGTGTGTTGAATAATAAGCAAATCTTTGGCAATTTACTTCTTAGCTCTTGCAGAGTGGCCAAAACAAATATTTTAAAATGCTAAGGTTTGAAGTCCAGAATACTTTTATTATTTCCCCAAAGTTGAGAAGATGACTACGTGGGAATGGTATCCTGACAAGCAGATTTCAAGAAAGAAGGCAGAATGGATTGTCAGGTGTTTCTAATCATTTTCTCCCCATGCTGCCAACCTCCTTTGATCAGCTTCTCAACTTAAGAGAACATTGTGGGAGAAATGTAAAGCTTGAAGTTGAAGTTTACAAGAGATTAATTTCATAGATGTGCTGCTTCTGGCAAATTTGATTCATTAAAAATTCAATTCAGAACATTTTTTAAATCTTATAATTTGATTTTATTTAAAATGTAGCTGAAAGGAAGCTTAGAATGATCTTTTCCTTGTAAAATAATTATGTATGGATTTTATAAGTGCATCTTGTGTGTCAAAATAAAAAAACTCAATTTTGTAGCTTTTGTTTACAAAAGAAAACAGCAACTATATATATTCAAGACTCCTAGCTTTTTTGCTAGAAGAAGTTTAAAGGATGTGGAAGCTAATTGAGTTTTACTTCAGATCCAACCATCCTCAAAGTATTCTATGCACACGTAAGAGAGACAAATCTTCCAGCAGGAGCCCTAAAGATTGATGGGCGGCTCATGTTTGTGTGGAAAATGCTGTTGGCAGGTTCATATATCGGTGACTACAAAGAGTATCGGTATGTCATTTGTGCTGTTGGAACTTTATATTTCTTGGCTGAAATCCTGACTAAATCTCTTTCGGTTTTATCTTTTGCTAAAATTCCATTGGAAACAGCCTATGTTGAGAAAATAAGCTGTTTTTACCATTTCATAGTTCCCTTAGCACTGAAAACAAAAATTGACCTGAAATTTGCTGAACTTGACCTAATTTCAAATATCCTAAAATAAAAAAACCCAGTTCATTAGGATATCCTGTTTTTTTTCTATTTTGTATTCCCTTAGTAATAGGATTCTGATTACATTTACTAGAATTGGTCCATTACCACCACCTATGATTTTTATACAGCATATATCTCATCAAATACAAATAAACTTCTAATAATTTAATATCCTTCCTCCCTTTCCCTCCCTCTCGCTCTCCCTCTCCCTCTCTCTCTCACATACACACACACACACAAATATTTTAACAAAGCTTTGTTCTCAACTCAGAAAGAAGTAAATAAATAAACACAATCTTAACTATTTAAAAAATCCTGAAATACAACCAAATACAGATATATCCATGATTCAAAGAAATCTAGGAGTTGATGAGAGTAGAGTGGAATAACCAGGCCTGTCTTTGAACTTTTTAAAGAGCACCAAACCTTTACAGAAATGAAATTCATTAACTCAATGTTACTACCACCCATGTCCAAATTGACTCTGGGCAGTATGCTATAAACAAAATAGAAAATATAATATGAATAGAAGAAAAAAGAATTTTATTGTAATTTTAAATGTACACTAATCAGCATATATTAAAATGAAATTTCTTTGCATTCAGCTCTCAAAGGAGAGCTTTATTTATCTATATTATGCATATAGCCATATACACAAACATAGGACACAGAGAAATAACCCAGTCTAGTTCGAATGTATACATACCCATGTACATGGCGGAAAAAAAAGAATCCTGAGAGTTTACAAGACAGCATGGGGAACAAACCTTTTACAGAATCTAGTACTCCTACAAATACTTTGAAACCTCTTCGCAGAGGGGAGCAACAGAAACAGACCATGAAGTGGGTGTGTGGGGTCTGTAACAATGCTTTGAGCTCTAAGGACATAGTGCTTATGAGCAGTATTCTGGATAACGGGAAGTAAGCTTCCTACTCTTTACTTCCTAATCTCACCTGTCCATACTGCTCTTTTATTCGAGGCACTGCTACCACCCAATCAAACAGTGATACAGTTTATTAAAATGTTCTTAATCATGCCTCTGTAAAAAAGTGTCCAGGACAGAAGGAGAAGGGTGTGCTGTCCTCAACGGATGCAGGAAATGCAAATGTTGGTTTGCACACCTCATTAAAGATAATTAAAGTCAGATAAAATTCTCTAGATGTGTGAATGACCTCAATCAAGTTTCGTACAGATATTTAACAAAAGGGGGGAGAATGTTAGGCTTGATGGCACCCCCCCCCCCCAAAGAAGAGGTCTGGGAGTGACCATTTCCCAGCCAACACAACTGTAACTAATCACTGGGAAGAGGAGAACCAATGAATCTCAACTGCTGGAGCTGATTCCAAAAGAATACTGGGTTTGACAGTATGCATTAGCTGCATCTTGGTTCCACCATAAATCATCAAGTATAGACTTGTCTCAAGGCTCTCTCCTGGACTGAAAAGTGACTAAAATGGATCTAGATATCTGTGTCCTCAACTCCTCTGTAACTACAGTCCAACATTCTCTGAAATTGAAGGGTCGGATTATTCTTGTCTAAGATTGTCGGCTCTGGAGAGGCGTTGAGGGGACATATGAAGAACTGAAGATAGGTGTGGCAAAGACCAGCAAACTGGTAAATAGACAGGTTCCTTGGGACTTCTCCAGATAAGGAGAAGATGAGAGATCATTCGCCTGTTAACCAGACAGCTCTTCCTCACAAGACCACAGGACTATTTTCTACAATTTTGAGCATTGGCATGATGATTAGCCATCTTATTTTGCAAACATGGCTGAGAGTTTTAAAGGACACTAAATTCACAAACTCTTGGACAAATCAATATCACTTGCCATGAAAATAAATTCAGAATGGAGTTCAGTTTTTTTTTTAAATGCTAAAAATATAGAATACAGCTCACAAGAGCATTTATGAATCAACTTTGGGCAAATGAAATAACCCATGTCAATTAAACCACTGCAACCACTTTAAAAAGTAAGGTTGGATTCTATCCATTTTGTTTAAATTGAGTAAAGTTTGCTTTTGATTAAATAAAGATCAGAATTCAAATAAATTTATTTGCCTAACTGAAAATTTATTTATTATTATTATTATTATTATTATTATTATTATTATTATTATTATTATTATTTCACAAAAATGACAGTATACACAGTAAACGAGATAACTGCTGGGTTTCGTATCACAAATCACTAGTCGAACACTTCCCAAGTGTTTAGGACTGCATGATGTATCGGTGGATTATGCGAGCAGATCCCAGTAAGTAGCCTTCTGCAGCTGGCCAATGGTGATCTTGTCAGCGCCAATTGTTTTTAAGTGCTTGCCTAGGTCTTTAGGCACAGCACCCAGTGTGCTGAGTACCACTGGAGTACCACCACCTGCACTGGTTTATGCCAGAGTTTCTGCAGTTTGATTCTCAAGTCCTGATATCTGATGACTTTTTCAAGTTGTTTCTCATTGATTCTGCTGTCACCAGGTATGGCAATGTCAATGATCCACACTCTTTTCTTCTCCACAATCATGATATCCGGGGTGTTGTGTTCCAAAACTTTGTCAGTCTGTATTCGGAAGTCCCCCAGCAGTTTTGCATGCTTATTTTCAACCACTTTTTCAGGCTTATGATCCCACCAGTTCTTTGCTACAGGCAGATGGTAGTTGTGACACAAGTTCCAGTGGACCATCTGAGCAACTGTGTTGTGATGTTGTTACAACACAGTCACTCAGATGGTCCACTGGTTGTAACATCACATCATCATCACCATCATTATCATCATTATTAGTCTTTTATTCAAGTCTGCTTTTGGTCTAGAGTGCTTATGTTTTAATCTTTGGTAGATTTTGAAAGTTCTGCTACTTATCATGCACCTCAACTGTAGTATTAGATATTAAGTAAGGTTTGGTTGTACTTTAATGTAATGTTAGACCATTGTTCAGTGGTTCAAATATGAGCCTCAGAGTGTGTATTCTCTTTTAAAATCTAGATTGAAGACTTTTAATTTCTTTTCCCCCAAAAAATCTCAGTCTTTTTGCTACAGAAAGGAAGGTACAAAAATTGGTTAAATAGGTTTAACAAATCACGAACTTGCATATGAATATACAGTAGGCCAACATTAAAGGAAAAAAGAATGACATTACCATAGGTGTATACTACAGGCCACACAAAGACGCAGAGGAAAAAGGCAAACTGTCAGCTTGGAAGCCATTTTTCTTTGCCTGGCAATTTGGGAGGGGGACTTCAAGGACTGGTGAAAGATTAGCCACAACAACATTCCTTTCTCAGAAAATCAAGGACATGTTACCCTACACCTGGAGGGAAGTGACTGGGGGTAGTCTCCAGCTGGACCAA